GATGATAATCATGTGACATGATTGAGGTGTTAACTAATGCCACAATGGTAATCATATTGCAACATATAAATGTATCAAATCAACACATTGTACATCTTAAATTTATACAACTATACAATGTTATATGTCAACTATATTTAAGTTTAAAAAATACATAATTTAGGGCGCCTGGGTGGCTCAGTCAATGAAGCGGCTCAGGTCATGATCCCAGGGTCCTGGGATGGAGCCGGGCATCGGGCTCCTTGCTCAGTGGGGAGTCTGCTTCTCCTTCTCCCTCTGCCCCCCGCCCCTGCTTGTGCATGTGCTCATTCTCTCTCAAATATTAAAAAAACCCCACATAACTTAGCAGTAACCAGCAGACTTTGTTGTCTTTGTCAGCCCATGTTTTTCAAACACTTGCTCCATTCATTGCACCTGCTAGCACTTCCCTCCACCAGGACATTTCCCCAGGCCCCTACCAATGAAAACTTTAGCAACTGAACCACTAGCTCAAGCCAGAAACTACTTGGGCCCCTCATACCCTCCAGGATGGTGCTGTCTCTGTTTGCGGAGTGCTGGATCAGTCTCAAATGCCCTCTGACCACCTGTTTTCTCGGACCACTCATGTCACCACTGCGTTACTCCAGGTCCTCTGAGAAACAGTCACCAATTTGGGATTAAATATGCAGTGATTTTATTAGAGGAAGTACTCAAATGAAATAGGAAGTTGTGGAAGTTTGGGAGAATCATCAGAGGGGGTGGGGTGAGAGACAGAGATTGGATGGAGGTGTCCCACATGGCCATGCCATAGCCATGCAATAGCCATGCAATATACCAAGGTTTGGGAAAGCCTTCAGGAGTTCTTGAGGCAGGTGGGCAGGAGTCCCAGTCTCCCCGGGATCGGGTCTGCTTAAATAAGCCCACTGCACTCAGGCACCGGAGGGGGGCAGCGTGGGGGTGTGTGTGGCCTTGGTGCAAATGTGATGGTGGGTGTCAGAGCGCAGCTGCCTGCGCCCTGAGTCAACTGCACTCGCAGCAGGAGGCGTGTGAGGAGCACTCTCAAGGTTGTCACAAACCGCTAATCTTCCTGCCACCCCACCTACCTCGGAACCCCGGAACTCTGGCTTCCCTCCTGCAACAGTGAGGGAGATGTTCCATTCTTAGTTTCTTAGCTGTCTGGATCTTAGCCGTCTTGCTACTCAAGGATTTTGACCCAACAGGTACCCTCTTTCTCTCCTGGATCATCAATTCCCCCCAGCTACTGGATTATTCCTGTCAGTATTTAATAACATCTTCCGAGCCCCCTCTCTGCCTCCGGTTGGCCTCCATTTCTTTGCTCCCTGTCACAGGAAGAAAGGAACTCCCTGAAAGAGTTGTCTCCACTTGCTGTCTGCACTTCTTCATTTCCCATTCTTTTGTTCACAATGAAAAGAGTTTTATTTTTTTATGAATAAAAATAGTATAAGTTCGGGCGCCTGGGTGGCTCAGTTGGTAAGTGTCTGCCTTCAGCTCAGGTCATGATCCTGGGGTCCTGGGATTGAGCCCCGTGTGGGGCTCCCTGCCCAGCGGGGAGGAGAGTCTGCTTCTCCCTCTGCCTGAAGCTCCCCCTGCTTGTGCTCTCTCTCTCTCTCGTGCTCTCTAATAATAAAATCTTTCAAAAAATAGTTTAAGTTCAATGTGACGGGAAACAATAGCAAGAAAGCAAGTATCACCTGGAATTACATCATGTTCTTTTATTTTTATTTATTTTTAATTTTTTTTAAGATTTTATTATTTATTTGAGAGAGAGAGGGATAGAACACAAGCAGGGGGAACAGCAGAGAGAGAGGGAGAAGCAGGCTCCCCGCTGAGCAGGGAGCCCGATGTGGGGCTCGATCCCAGGACCCCGGGATCATGACCTGAGCCGAAGGCAGATGCCCAACCGACTGAGCCACCCAGGTGCCCCACATCATGTTCCTTTAAAGATTTTATTTATTTATTTGACACAGAGGGAGAAATAGTGAGAGAATGCACAAGCAGGGGGATCGGCAGGCAGAGGGAGAGGGAGAAGCAGGCTTCCCACTGGGCAGGGAGCCCCATGTGGGGCTCGATCCCAGGACCCTGGGATCATGACCTGAGCCAAAGGCAGATGCTTAACGACTGAGCCACCCAGGCGCCCCTGGAATTACATCATTTTAAGTTGGGTGACTATGGCCCTTTCGTTTGTCTTTGTGCAGACACCTGCTTCTACAATTAGGAGCAAGTTTCACATGCTGTTCCTCTTGTTTCCCTCTTCACAGTTTTAAGGGTTTGGTTTATAACTTCCCCTCTGCATCTCTTGGTATATCCCCACTCCCCCTCCCACGGTGACACACGCGTGCACATGCACACCATGTTAACAAAATGATATGTATATTTCCATACGTTTCTTCACGCTCTCAAACACAGAGCTTTTCTTTTGTTTATATGACAAGATCGTCCTGTAACTACTTCTCTGCAGCTTGGTCTTCTCATTTAACAAAACTGTGTGGAAAATCTTTTAAATCAACTAGTACAGATTGATCTGTGCAGTCAATGTACAATCATTTATTCAACTATTCACCTATTGAAAGGCACTTTTTTTTGGTAGAGTTTTGTCATGACAACCAATGATACAGCACATATCCTCCCTGTCCCATCTCATCCCATAAATAAATTCCTAAGAGTGGAATTTCTGGGTCCAAGAGCATGTGTATTTTTAATAGATCTTACTGGATTGCTTTCCAAAAAAGCTGAAATAATTCGCTTTTCCTTCTGAAGTGCAAGAGAATTTCCTTCCTGGGGCGCCCGGGTGGCTCAGTCGGTTGAGAATCTGACTCTTGGTTTGGGCTCAGGTCACAATCTCAGGGTCATGGGATCAGCCCCACGTTGGGCTCCATGCTCAGCGCAGAGTCCGCTTGGGATTCTTTCTCTCTCCCTTCCCCTCTGCCCCTTCCCCCACTCGCACTCTCTCTCAAATAAATAAATGTTCTTAAAAAAGAGAATTTCCTTCCCATCCCTGACCCTCGTTACTTCCCAAGAGTATTACCCGTCTGCGTTTGTGCCCTCAGGTGAGGAGTGCAAACCTCACTGTAACTTTGGTTTGTATCTTTCTGACTGTTGGTGAGCTCCAGAATCCTCGGTGGGTAAGCACCTGATTTGGAGCCAGTGTGCCTGAGTGTGAATTCCAACTCCATCCCTTATCACTCTGTGACTTTACAAAAATTATTTACCCTTTTTGTACCAGTTTCCTCATCTCTATATTGGGACAATAATACTCCCACCTCACAGAGTTGTTGAAGAGGGTTAGGTAAATTATTAGAACAATTCCTGGCACATAGTAAACACTAAAAAATAGTTGTTTTAAATATGTTTATTGGCTATTTGGGTATGGTCCTCTGTAAAATGACTATATTCTTTGCTCTCATTTCTATTGGGTAGTTTTGCTTTTTTTCTATTAAATATTTTTATCAGATTTTGTTTTATCTCCCTAAATAAAGATTTTAAAGATTTTTTCATGTGTGTCTAAAACCTTTTATATTAAATTTAATTATATATAATTAGTCATTACAATGAAGAGATTACTTTTTATTTTTTCTATTGCTGTTATAGAACATTATAGAGAATAGGTATTTCATTTATTTATTATTTATTTGATAGAGAGAGAGCACATGAGCTGGGGGGAGGGGCAGAGGGAGAGGGAGAAGTAGACTTCCTCTTGAGCAGGGAGTCCATTTGGCTTGATCCCAGGATCCTGAGATCATGACCTGAGTGGAAGGCAAACACCTAGAAAAGGTATTAATTTTTAAATATTTATCTCATATTGAGCTATCAAGTTATCTTAATCTAGTAATTCTTGTTACTAATTTTAGGTTTCCTAGGCATATTATATTATTGAAAAAGAGGATTTTTATCTCCTTTCCCCCCGAATTTACAATGGTCATTTCATTTTATTTTCCTCTTGTAATGTCAGAACTTTCAAAAGAGTGATGAATAGCAGGTATCCCTGTCTTGTTCTTGATTTCAGTAAAATAAATTCTAATTGTGGACAACAGCTTTGATCTGTGCCCATGGAGTTCCATCTTGCTCTTCTGTTTTTTGTGATCTTCTATTCTTGATGTTTGTGCTATAGATTTCAGACTTGTTTAGCTAGCCTTCACAATCACATAAGCCGGTTCTTTTAAATAAATCTCTTTACACACACACACACACACACACACACACACACTTCACAAGTTCTGCTTCTCTAGTTGAACTTTAACTGTTATAAATACTAATTGTTTGAAAGCTGTGGTAACATTTAGATAAATCAAGCCTATGTTGAACATGAAAATCATATTTTAAAACTTCAAAGCTTAGAGCATCAGCTTCTCATTTTCAGTATAATAAGTTGTACATTTCATGTGTGAATCTACCACTGGAAGAACTTCTGAAATACATTTAAGACAGATTTTTTAGGACACATTAAGCCTTTTATACATAAATTAACTACAGCTATATAAGATTTCATATGAAAAGTTTCATGCAAAATAACATTTGAGGGGCGCCTGCGTGGCTCATTCGGTTAAGTGTCCAACTCTTGATTTCGGCTCAGGGCACGAACAGGTCGTGAGATTTAGCCCCGAGTTAGGCTCCACTCTCAGAGGCTCTGCGGTCAGCGAGGAGTCGGCTTCCTCCCTTCCTTCTCCCTTTGCCCCTCCCCCATACACTTACAAAAATTTACTTTCATTCTTAAGAATGATTTTAATAGGCAAATTTAGTTTTATTTTAATTTTTAAAAAAGCCGTATAAGAGTATATAGAGTACCTTAAGGTAAGGGCAAATACCTTAAAATTAATTTTATAACATGCAATAGATATGAGAATATTTGTCTTGGGTAATTTAAGAACATTTTTAGAGCTTGAATTTGTTGATACATACTATGTGCTTATCCTTAATATTTCTTGGTCACACACACACTTGTAAGTATATATATATACTCTCTACATATATATACCTCAATACTAAACAAACTTTCATTTTTCCTAATTATTCTTTTGTTTTCTATCATATCTGTTAATTGGTTCATAAAGATATTGTTTATAAATCCTCATATAATGGAAATAGCTCAAAACTAGAATACTGAAGAACAGTAGCATCAGGACAAATAGGAAGGCAGCAACCAGGTAGCCACTTGGACTGAAATAAGAAGAAAAAGTCATTAGAAGTCATCATTCACTTTTGTTGTTAATTTATTTAGTCAAACAATGTTTGAATGACTAATTCCTATGCCACTGACAGAAAACAAAGATTAATAAGACATCTTATCTACCCTCAGGATGTTTCCCTCTTAGTGTTAGAGGTTGACTAGGGAAGAGAATAGACAGTGTGATCAATAGAATGAGAGAAAGAAATATAAAATTCATGGGGGCCAGACATACAAGAAGGCCTTCCAGTGGAGGGGACCTTTGAATTGAGTAGCGGAGTTAGCTGGGTAGGAGTAGGACTTGGAGCCTTAGAATGGGTTCGCCAGATAAAAATGCCTGGAAGTAGAGGAAGAAACAGGTGGGCATAGAGTTTTAGGCTAAGGGAGATGCCTATGCAAAGTTGTGGAGGCATGGGAAAACCTTAAGATCACCCCAGACATTCTGGAACTAAAACTAGTTCAGTATGATTAGAGCTCAGGTGGTAGGCAGAGTGGTAGAGATGAGGAATGATTGGTGGTTAGAGGTGAGAGAGACAGCTTTTATTAAGCTACAGGGTGTGGATTTTGGAAGGATGATTCTGATTGTAGGGTGAAGAATGGATGAATGGGAAGTAGGAGTGTGGAGGAAGAAACCCCAGTTTTGAGGTTTTTTAATAATGCAAGTATGATGAGGGTCTTAATTAAATTAGTGTCTGAGTAAGTGGAGAGAAGCAGATAGATCTAAGACAGATTTGGAAGTTAGACTGGATTGATCTTGGTGATTGTTGAGATGTGGGGTTTGAGTAACGGATGTTGTCCAAGTTTTGGAATGAGGTGACTATGAGGATGCTATCACCGTTCACTGAGAGAGGAAATTCAGAGGGAAGAGCACTTTAGTGAGGGCATGTAAACACAGTTGGTTTACTTTTGGGCATATTGAATTGGAGGTACCTGAGGGTCAACCAGGTGTGTGTGTGTGCGCATGCGCACACACGTGTGTGGGTGTACACCACTTAGTAGATGTTACTTTCAGCTGGGTGCCAGACATCTGCCCCTTCACCTGGGACTCTGCCTGAGTGCCTCCCACCAGAGCGGATTTACTGCTTGAGCCAAATGCTGTGCTACTTTCTGTTTGGTGTCCTGGTATCTGACTTTAGTTTTTGGTTCCTTTTTAGGCCATAATTATTTATTTGCAGTGTCACGGTTTCCCCAGGTCCTAGTCCTCTTACTCTGACCTTCCTCCTATGTGGATACAAGCTTAATCTGGCTCCAGTGAATGGTTTCCTTCTTGGAAGTTAATTAACTAACTTGACAAATCATCTGATATGAGCCAGGTATTGTGGTAGTGCCTGGAAAAACAATGATAAGTAATAGTAGACATGGTCTCCACCTCCTTAGAGAGTTTACATTTTAGTGGAGACATAATTGTTAATCAATGATGAGAAAAGAAATATAAAATTGCACTTGTGATAAGAACTAAGTAGGAGAGATATACAATGCAATGAAAGTTTACTCTAGCAGGATTTAGCCTGGTGATAGGGTCAAGATATGCCTCCATGGGGGGAAAAGATAATTATCCTAAAATTTGAAGAATCAAATGGAAATGAAGTTGGTGAAGTTAAGTAGATAAAGAGGGGAAGGGGGGTGCCTGGGTGGCTCAGTTGGTTAAGCGTCTGCCTTTGGCTCAGGTCATGATCCCAGGATCCTGGGATCGAGTCCCTCTCCCTCTGTCTGCTCCTCCCCCTGCTTGTGCTCTTTCTCTCTGTCAAATAAATAAATAAAATCTTAAAAAAAAAAAAAAAAGAGGGGAAGGAAGAGTTGCCAGATAGAAGAAATAGAATGTGCAAAGGTCCTGCTATGGGACAGAGCATGGAGAAGTTTGGGGACTGAAAGTTTGGTGGGTCTAGAGTAGAGATGATGCAGGGAACATAATGCAAGACAAGATTAGAGAAGTAGGTGGCGGCCTGATCATGGAAGGTCTTGTAGGCCATGTTGAGGAGTTATCATTCTAAGGAAAGAAACTTAAAGCTTTCAAGTTATAAAATTAGCATTTGAGACGATCACTTTGGCTCCAGTGAAGAAAATGAACCAGAAGAAAATAGAAATGAATGAGGAGAGATCTGTCAGATGTCTATTGTGGTAGTTCCCATCTGAGACAATCGTAGCTTGGACTGGAGTGCTGGTGATGACGGGTTGGTAAGAAGTGGATCCATTCAAGGGCAATTCAGGAGATTAAATGAATGGGAGCCAGTGACTGTTTGGATGAGCTGGGGGAAACAGAGAAATGAACACAACCCTAGGTTTTTTGTTTTTTTGGGGGGTTTTTCTTGTTTTCATTTTTGACTCATAGGTATTTGGCTTGTACAGTTCAGTGTGCTCTTTCCCAAGAGAAGGAACTCTGGAAAACAGGGTTGCCACACTGTTCATCTCCAGAAGGCACTGTTCATATTATAGCCCATGTAAATGGATTCTCTTGGAGCTGTGCAATGACACCTGTATGCAATTACCCTGATGGATCCCTTTTAGAGTGGGACAAATAATGGGGCAAGGGAGTGGGTGATAAGATCATGAGATCATTTTGGGGCATGTCCAGTTTGGCCAGTTTTTTGAGAAAAGAGGTTAATAGATGGTGGGATGTATAGCTCTGGATGGGCCAGAGATATGATTTGAAAGTCATGTGTATATAGATGCTTACTGAAACCATGAGTATGGATGAGCTTGCCAAAGTGAGAAGCTCACAAGACCAGGGCTGAGCCCTGAGGGAAATCAACATTTACTGTCTTGTAAAGGAGGTCAGGGCTCTCTTTACTTGAGAAAGAGTGGCTATAGAAGTTTAGGAAAACCCATAAAGCAATACGGTGGTCAAAGGGAAAGTCAACACCGATGAAACATAAAATGAGATGAAGACTGGCAAATATCTATCAGGTTCGGTGTAGGCCAGTTCCAGTTCAAGATGGTGACATGGGAGGCTCCTGAACTCACCTCCTTCCATAGTCACTCATGCCACAGCTACCTAAGGAACAGTTCCCTCCAAAAAAAATCCAGAAACTAGCTGAGCAACATCTACACATTGGGTGAATGAGAAAAAATTTACCCACATCAAAATGGGTAGAAGAGACTGGGACACAGCCTTACCATAAACCCCACACCCAGCGCAGCAACATACAACCAGGAGGGAACTCTCGACTACCAGCTTCTCCCTGGAGTGAAGAGTTTGGACCCAACATCGTGTCCCAACTTATGAAAGTTCCACCTGAGGAACAGGTCCCCAAACACTTAGCTCTGAAAGCCACCTGGGCTTGTGTCTATGAGATGCATGGGGTGATAGCAAACAAAGGGGTCCTGAGGACTTGCAGTGGCTAAGCCTCCCTCCCCCCGCCACCCCTCAGTACAGAGACAGCAGACTCAAATGCCCATCTCCCAGCCTTTCTGTGAAAGAGGCCCATTTGCTTATCTTAAAAGCTGCAACCTGAGGTTTAGGCTCCTGATTTAACACAAATCGAGGGGCTGACTGCAATCCTCTCCAGAGACTCTGGGGAGCGTGGCCGGTGCCATCTTAAATTCTCCCTCCGCTTCTCCCTAGGTCACTGGTATCTCTCTGAAAGGAGCTTGTGCACATGTCTTGTGCCCCAGCTGCTATGGCTGTTGTCCAGGGGACACACCTTTTATAGCCTGGCTCTGGTGGCCCACAGAGCTTACTACATTCACTAGTAGTACAGGACTGTAACAAAACCCAGGACTTGGTGCAGACAGTGTAGACAGAAACACCCATCTCCTAGTCTTTCACTGAAAGAGGTCTATTTGCATACTTTAAAAAACCTGCTGCCTGAGGGTCCAGCTTCCAATCAGCCTGCATCTAGGTGCTGATTGAGGCCCTCTTCTTTGGGACACCGAGGTCCTGGGAACTAAGAAGGCATCTTGGACGGTCAAAGGTTTGAGAGACCACAAACAGCTAGGGCCAGGCTGAAGAATAAGGTTCATCTCTGATCTGAGGCCAGTCCTTCAAGACTGGGAAAGGTAGCTGTTTTATCTAATTCAGAAACCAATGCAGAGAGGTAATTGGTGGAGTAATAAGACAGAAAACAGATTGGGTGGATTAGAGAAACAGGGATAGAATATAGAGAAAAGGAGACTATGTAGACAAGCCTTTTGAGAATTTTGTCTCGCAAAGTTGGGGGGAGAGAACGGCAGCTAGAGGGGGATAGGAGGTTGGGGTTTTATATATATTTAAATTAAAAACTTGGGGGTGATTAAAAGCCTATGGGGAGGATCTAGTTGAGGGAGAAATTTGAATATATAAAAGAGAGAAGAAATAATTGATTTGGAAGTTTCCTTAGAAAGTGGAAAGAGGGTTCAAAGCACCTGTGGAAGAATTATATTTAAGGAAGAGGAAAAAATGTCTTTAATTGTAACAGGATGGAAAAAGGAGAGAATGAACATAGGTGTTGGTAGGTGTGTTTGGAATCAGGAATCAGGAGTGTTCCTTCCTGCGGGCTTCTAAGTTCTTTGTAATGGTGGAAACAAGTTCTTCTGATGTTCATTAAGGAAAGATGGTCCAAGGAGGAAGCTGATTCGATAAGGTCTGAGGTAGTTACGGAGAGTGGAGATACTGGTTGACCAGAGAAAGATACTAAGATTCTCAGATAGTCCTGGTGGCCTGTATGAAGTTGGTGATTAATCTGCCCTTTGTGTAACTTTCTTTACCAATCCTTGGCTGCTCAGGTGTAATCAAAAAGTAGGTAGTTGGGGGCTTGCCAGATTGGGGGGGGGCAAATCCCAGAGGGGTAGGGAGTACTAGCAAGTGTTATTGAAGTAGTACACTTTGAAATGTAAGGAAAAAATGTGTGTGTTTAAAAAAGTTTTTTTTTTTTTTTCCTGGTTTTGTTTTAGAGGACCCAGGATAAATAATGGCCCGGAAGTGGTAATGGCACTCTGAGGCACCTGGGGGTCATTGGAAAGTAAACAGCTATCACTCTAGAAGGCTGAAGGTGAAGCAGTGTCCTTGGGGGATGGAGGGACATAGAGTGGGAGCTCAGAGGACGATTGAGGATTTAAGTGAGTTTGCTGGTTAAAAGGTAACAACTCCAAAGGACACAGTGGAAAATTTGGGAAAGTGGTTGAGTACTCTGGAAGACAAGGAAGCACCAAGATCTTGGCCTCCTATAGCCTGATCTTCAGCCTATGTTTGCTCATGAAAAGGGCTTTCTCACTAGGAAAATGGTTACCACCAGCTAATCCCCGCTTTGCCTCTGCTCCCACTTTGGGGGCTCAGGTGTAACAGGGACCAAGCTGCAGTCACTAACCTAGGGACAACCCCTAAGCTGCACCATATCCCCTGGCTGCTGAAATCCAGCTCCTGGGAGACAAGCTGGGGCAAATAGGTGAAATCCTCCTTCACTGTCATCTCTCCTCTCCAATTCACCAATGCCCCCTTCTGACAGTGTGCACGTATGTTCTTAATATTCATCTAAATCAAACATGGCAATCTAATGAGGAAAAGTCACTGTCAAAGGCCATAGATGTTTCCCAAAGTCACTTAGAAATAATGCGTGGCTTATCTCATTTGTAGGTTATTCACACTGTTAATCTTCCATTGGCACAAAACATCAAGGAGTCAGCGATATTTAAAGTAGGGCCATGAGTAACTTCATTGTTTGTCTTCCATTTTTGTTTAACATTTTACAAAAGAACAAAAACAAAAAACCAGGCCCAGGACAAAGGAGCGAGGTCGTTTGCAATCTCAGTGTTAGCATTAAGACTTTGCTCTCCAAGGAGACTGGAGTCCAGGAACATGCCTTTCCTACCTGTCTCTGGATGCATCAGAATGATGGCCAGTGGTTGAGGGCGGACTCAAGCAGCCACTGTCTCCTCCCAGGCCCCCCCGCGGCAGCCTAGACTCTGCCCTTTAGGTGGGGTTCAAAGACATGTTTGATGGGAAGACAGTGGCCACTGAGGGGATGAGACAAAATGGGACCCTAGCTGCAGCAACAATTCTCAAAAATTCCTTCCCACTGTATCCCTGGGATAATTGATACATACAATTTGAGGATGTCACATATAGGGCAGAAGTAGTAGGGTCCCAGGGAAATGGGGGAGAGGTGCTTTTCCTGTTTTGTCTGCCACCCCTGTCTTTTACGACTCCCCTCACTAAAGCCTAATTAGGCAGCAGGCATTACCTGGGAATCATTCCAAAGGTCTCTATTGCAAATATAGCTGTTAGGTTACAGAAACTGCAAATGAGATAAATAATATTAATGATTAAATTAAGTGCAGTATATTAAAAGCCTCCCTCCAAATCTTTATGGTAATGATCAAATCATAGATAATCTTAATGAAGGTGTCACTTTCTCGATAATGGAGAGAAGAGATGCATTTACATCACAGCTGTGGTGATTTTTCCATACGTGTGACTTGGGATGCTTGTGGCACGATTTCTCCGAGCTTGTCAGTGCAACCTCACTACCCTCCTAACATCTTGATGTCGTTTTTGATAGTGGGTCCCAAGGCGACAGCAAGAATAATGTTAATAATAATCATACCGTTTTACTGAGCACGTAGTACTTGTTGAAAGTGAATACTAACTGAGCATTTGCTGCGTACCAGACAATGGATCGAATGTCCTACATGAATTATCTGCCTAATCCTCATAGCAACACTTTCTTTTGGATGAAGAAACAGAGGCTCAGGTAGGTTAAGCTACTTGCAAAGTTTACAGTTGTCTGTAGCAGAGCTGGGATTTGAATTCAGGTTTTTCTGATCGAAGAGCCTGTGACATGTACCTGATGTTGGCTGGCTCAGGAAGTTAAGAATCTTCAGAACTTGATATAGGGCACTATGTTATTATTTCTAAGGTTACTGAGTATCTCTCATGATTTATCAGATTGCTTGGAATGAGAGGACAGAGCTAAATAAACATTAATGATAGCATTTCACCTATTTTCATGTGGAGGAAGAGAGACGAAAGGAACTTAACTTGATTGAGCAAAATTAGGGATTTTTACCCAGGTACTGTCATTTAATCCTCAGAATACTATAAGATAGGTATTATAGACTCATTTTACAAACAAAGAAATAAGCTCAGAGACTAAGCAATTCGCTTAAGATGACATATCTACCAGTGGCAAAAGTAGGATTCAAACCAAAGTAGACTCTAGAATAATGTTTTCAAGGTCCATCCATGTTGTAGCAAATGGCAAGATTTCCTTCTTTTTTATGGCTGAATATTCCATTACATATATATATATATATATATATATATCTATCTCTATCTATCTCTATCTATCTATTTATCTATCTATCTGTCTCTTCTTCTTTACCCATTCATTCATTGATGGACACATGCGTTGTTTCCGTGTCTTGGCTACTGTAAATAATGCTGCGATGAGCATGAGGGTGCATCTTTTCAAGTTAGGGTTTTCATTTTCTTTGGAAAAACAGGGGAAGAATTTTTGGATCATATGGTAGTCTGTTTTTAGCTTTTTGAGGAAACTCCATAGTGTTTTCCATAGTGGCTGTGCTAACTTTCATTCCCACCAAGAGTGCACAGGATTCCCTTTTTTCCACATCCTTGCCAACATTTGTCATCTCCTGTCTTTTTGAGACTAGCCATTCTAACAGGTGTGAGGTGATATCTCGCTGAGCTTTTGACTCGCATTTCCCTGATTATTAGTGATGTTGAGTACCATTTCATATACCTGTAGGCCATCTGCATGTCATGAAAAAATGTCTGTTCAGATCTTCAGTCTATTTTTTAATTGGATTGTTTGCTTCTGTATTGCATTGTATGAATTCTTTGTATATTTTGTATATTAATCCCCTATTGGATGTGTGCTTTCCACAGGTTGACTTTTCATTTTGTTGATGGGTGTTGTTTGCTGTGCAGAAGGTTTTTAGTGTGATGTAGTCCCACTTGTTTATTTTCACTCTTGTTGCCTTTGCTTTTGGTGTCAAGTCCAAAAAATCATGGCCAAAACTGAAATCAAGGAGCTTACTATCTATGTTTTCTTCCAGGAGCTTTATGGCATAAGGTCTTACATTCAAGTCTTTAATCCATTTTGAGTTAATTTTTGTGTGTGGTGTGAGATAGTGGTCTAGTTTCATTTTTTTGCATGTGGCTGTCCGGTTTTCCCAACACCACTTATTGAAGAGATTGTCCTTACCCCACCATATATTCTTGGCTCCTTTGTAATAAATTAATTGACTACATATGCCTGGGTTTATTTTTGGCCCCTCTATTCTGTTCCACTGATGTATGTGTCTGTTTTTATGCTGGTACCATACTGTTTTGATTACTATAGCTTTGTAGTTTAATTTGACATCAGGGAGTGTGATGCCTCTCGCTTTGTTCTTCTTTCTCAAAGATGGCTTTGGCTATTTGGTTTCTTTTTCTTTCTTTTTTCTTTTTTTTGTCATTCCATGCAAATTTTAGGATTGTTCTAGTTCTGTGAGGAGTGCCATTGGAATTTTGATAGAGATTGCATTGAATCTGTAGATTGCTTTGGGTAGTATGGACATTTTAACAATATTTGTTCTTCCAAACCATGAGCATGTAATATCTTTCCAATCATTGGTATCTTCTATAATTTCTTTCATCATTGTCTTATAATTTTCAGGGTCTAGGTCTTTCACTTCTTGGTTAAATTTATTCTCAGGCATTTTATTCTTTTTGATGCACAGGTAAATGAGATTGGCTTCTTAATTTCTCTGCCTGATAGTTCATTATTAGCATATAGAAACACAACTGGTTTTTATATATTGATTTTGTATCCTGCAACAATTACTGAATTTGTTTATTAGTTCTAACAGTTTTTTGGTGGAGTCTTTAGGGTTTTCCAAATATAATACCATGTCATCTGCGAATAGTAAAAATTTTGCTTCTTCCTTTCTGATTCGTATGCCTTTTGTTTCTTTTTCTTGCTTAATTGCTCTGGATAGGACTTCTAACTCTATGTGGAATAAAAATAAAAGCGGGCATCTTTGTTTCTCAATCTTAGAGGAAAGGCTTTCAGCTTTTCACCACTGAGGATGATGTTAGCTGTGGGCTTGTCCTATATGGCCTTTATTATGTTGAGGTATGTTCCCTCTACACCCACTTTGTTGACAATTTTTATAATAAATCAATCAGTTGAATTTTGTCAAATGCTTTCTGCATCTACTGAGATGATCATATGATTTTATCCTTCATTTTGTTAATGTGGCCTATCACATTGATTAATTTGCAGATGTCAAATCATCCTTGCATCCCTGGAATAAATCCCACTTGATATTATATGATCCTTTTTAATGTATTGTTGAATTCAGTTTGCTAATATTTCATTGAGGATTTTTGTATCTATATTCATCAAGCATATTGACCTGTAATTTTCTTTTCTTGTGGTATCCTTGTCTGGCTTTGGTATTAGTAATGTTGGCCTCATAGAATGAGTTTATAAATATTCCTTCCTCTTATATTTTTCGGGAGAGTTTGAGAAGGATAGATATTATTCTTTAAATGTTTGGTAGAATTTACCAATGAAGCCATCTGGTCTTGGATTTTTGTTAGTTGAGACGTTTTTTTCTTACTGATTCACTCTCCTTACTAGTTATCAGTCTCATCAGATTTTCCATTTTTTCATGATTCAGTCTTGGTGGGTTGTATGTTTCTAAGAATTTATCCATTTTTTTTTTTAGGTTGTCTAATTTGTTGGTGTATAATTATTCATAGTAGTCTCTTATGATCCTATATATTCCTTTGGTATCAGTTGTAACTTCTCTTTCATTTCTGATTTTATTTGAGTACTCTCTCTTTTTTTCTTATTGAGGTTAGCTAAAATTTTGTCTATTTTATCTTTTTAAAAACCAACTCTTGTTTTTTTTGATCTTTCCTATTGTCTTTTTAGTCTCTATTTGGTTTATTTCCTCTCTGATCTTTGTTATTTCCTTCCTTTTACTAACTCTGGGCTTTGTTCTTTTTCTAGTTCTATGAGGTGTAAAGTTGAGTTGTTTATTTGAGATTTTTCTTCTTTCTTGAGGTAGAGGATTTCCTTCTTTTTTTTTAATGGCTGAATAATGCTTCATTGTATATCACATTCTCTTTATCACTCACTCATTAATGGACACTTAGGTTGCTTCCATGTCTTGGCTATTGTAAATAATGCTATGATCAACATGAGGGTACACATATCTTCTTGAGTTAGTGTTTCGTGAAACTCTTCTAGTAGTGGTGACCCCAGACTCTATGGCATTTTTATTTTTCCTACTAGCTATGGTCTTCCCTCATGCCTTATGTGATGTTGCCATGTTTTAGTGTAATTCATTTATTGGACTTTGTCAAGTAGAAATTGTATTCAAGCTCATCATTATCCCTTTAAACAAATGCTAAAACAATTATAATAAAATATTTATATTCACCTATAGTTTGGATCCAGGATCTTCACACGAAACACATACATTCCAGAATGGTCCTCAGGCCAAATTAAATGGTTATAGTTAGACTTGTTGATTATCTCATATGGTTGATTTAAATCTCCTGGTTTTCCAATAGCATAAGAGAAACAGTGCTTATAGTTCTGAATAGGAAACAAAGACAAAAACCTTAAGGTCCTTCTCTAGGGGAAGAGGTGTTGGAGATTGTAGGGGAGAGGAGAAAGTATGCAGCAGCTAGAGAGAGGGAAAAGGGAATGAACTGGAGAAATACACTTATGTTTGTTGGGCAGTATTACAGGACTGTTTTAATCATGAAATTAAGGTGAAATAAATCAGCATGGGTATGTATTCCTTTGACCACAGTCGGCTGTCAAGGCAGATAGTTGGGATTTAACTAGGGTTGTGATTTAGCTACACAAGTATGAAGAAGTGAGAGGGAGGAAGGAATTGAGGGTACACATTAATTGAGTGTTATAATTATTGACCATGGAATTCAAGCAGCATAAAGAGCAAGAAGAGAACCTAGGGGCAGGGTGAGCGTGGTTAGGTCATTTTGAGGTTGAAGGATTGTTCGAAGGATTGTTAGAGTAAAGGTTCTAGGGTTATGTTGCTGGAAGAATACGACATTGTGGCTGGAAAGTGGGATGTTTTGAGATGGGACTACAGAGGATAATACAATTATTTATATGTATCTCTGTCTTGACATGTGCAGATTCTGATGTAGAAGCAAAGTAACATTCCTATTGTAGGGGTTAGATTTTATGGGCTCAGGTACCATATAGGTCACTTTAATTTATGAGATATGATTTTCTTCTCCAAATAACAGAAATTAATTTCAATTCAAGAAAGGTTGATTGAAAAAATTGAAAGCAGTATAGGGATTGATAGTTGGCATTCAGAAATGATCTTTCAGTTGTTTTTTCTTTTTTAAGATTTTACTTATTTGAGATAGAGCAAAAGCAAGAGAGTGAGAGAGCATGAGCCAGGGGGCGGGGCAGAGGGAGAGAGAGAAGCTGACTCTCCACTGAGCAGGGAGCCGGATACAGGGCTCCATCCCAGGACCCTGGGATCATGACCTGAGCCAAAGGCAGACGCTTACCCAACTGAGCCACCCAGGCACCCCATGATCTTTCAGTTGTACAAGAATTGAAAGTTCAGGTGTTCTTTAGAAAGACTCACTCTCGGGGTGCCTGGGTGGCTTAGTCAGTTGCGTGTCTGCCTGTGGCTCAGGTTGTGGTTTTGGGGTCCTGGGATTGAGCCCCCCCACAGGGCTCTCTGCTCAGTGGGGAGCCTGCTTCTCCCTCTCTCTCTGCCATTCCCCCTGCCTGTGCTCGCTCTCTGTCAAGTAAATAAATAAAATCTTAAAAAAAACCCTCACTCTCAATGCTTCAACATGTTTGTCAGATATTTAATAAATCTGCAAACAGATTTTCAGCAGAAAAAATTAAAACAAAATTGTTAGTAACAGAGGAACAATGGAAGATCAAATAGAAATTAAGATGATGCATTTCTGAAGTCACAATATTAATCCAATAGAAAAGTTGGATTTGATTTTCAAAAGCAAATTTAAATCCAAAACGTTTCCATCAAACTTTTGTTAAACTGAAATGCCAAATTAGTTATTATAACTAAATCTGGTAGGTAATATTTTCCTTACTTCAGGTCCCCAGGCTTCTTCTAGTGGGAGGTGCTGGTTAAGCTTAGTCATTGACTTCCACGTCTGGGCTTCATTTAAACAACCACTCTGTCAAAAAATTGTACATATAGGAATTTAAGAAACAAGTGAGCAAAGGAAAAAAAAAAAGAGAGAGACAAGCCTAGAAGCAGACTCTTAACTATAGAGGACAAACTGATGGTTGCCAGAATGGAGATGGGTAGGGCGAATGGGTTAGGTGGGTGATGCGGATTAAGGAGGGCACTTGTGATGAGCACCAGGGGATGTATGGAAGTGTTGAATCACTATCGTACACCTGAGACTAATATTATGCTGTATGTTAACTAACTTAATTTTAACTACAGTTAAAATAAAAATGTAATAAAAATTGTACACACATATGTTTGTATATAAATTTATTCATAAGTATTTAATATATTTAATACCATTGAAAAATATATATTTAATTCTTTTCATTATTTAAATGTTTGCTGATACACGGGGGAACAATTGACATTTGTATATTAACCTTGTATGAAAAGAACTTCTTAAACTCACTAAGTTTAAGTGTTTCACATGAAGTCATGTTACTTGTGAATATGACAGTCTTATTGCTTCCTTTCCAATCCTTACACTTTTAATTTATTTTTATTGTTTATTGTTTGCCTTATTACAGAGATCAGAAACAATGTTGTATAGAAATGGTGATAACTGGCACCCTTGTTTTACTCCTGACTTCAGAGAGAAAGCTTTCAAATTTTCACCACTAAGTAAGATGTTTTCTAAGGTTTTTGTTTTTGTTCTTTGTTTTTTTGTACTTACATTTTATTAGGTTAAGGAAGTTACGATATACTTATTTTGGGGGTTATTCTTTTTTTTTTTTAAGTAGGCTTCACACCCAATGTGGGGCTTAAACTCATGACCCTGAGAATTCCAAGATTTATTTTATATTATTTTTTTTAAAGATTTTTATTTATTTGTCAGAGAGAAAGAGAGCGCAAGCAAGCACAAGCAGGGGGAGTGGCAGGCAGAGGGAGAAGCAGGCTCCCCGCTGAGCAAGGAGCCTGATGCGATGGGGTGCTGGATCCCAGGACCCTGGGAACGTGACCCGAGCCGAAGGCAGATGCTTAACTGACTGAGCCACCCAGGTGTCCCTCCAAGATTTATTTTAAAAATAATGTTATGCATGAATAATTTTTTAATTGAATGACTTTTCAACTATTATAATAATCCATGCTTATTCTTCTTTATTCTGTTACTATAGTGGATTTCTTTGATTTTCAAATGATATTCCAACTCTCTATTTATGAAATAAACAAAACTTGTCTGGATGTGTGATTTTTAAATATACTGCTGAGTTTGATTTGTTAGCATTTTGGTCAGGTGCTTTGTACTTGTGGTCATGGGTGAAATTGGCTCATAATTCCTTTTTCTTTTAAGGTCCTCCTCGGATCCTCCTGGATTCACAAAATGAATTGGGAAGTGCTCTCTCCACCCTAAAACTCTGGAAGAGTTTTTAGAAAACTGAAGGAAAGTTTTCTTAAATGTTTGGTACACTTCATTAGGAAAGCCATATTTCTTTCTTAGAATATAAGAAACTTCGGTAATTTGTGTTTTTCAAGGCATTTGCCATTTTATCTGTTTCTTCATTGTCAAAATTTGTTGATATAAATTTGTTTATAGTAACCTCTATTATTTGGGCTTAAAATGATGATTTGCTCTTTTTTTTCCATTTGTCAACTAGAAACATGTTATAAAGAGATGCTTCCCCTTATCCACTCTTTGGTTATCCACTGGTATAGTTCATTTGGGGACGGTAGGATAAATATAGGTGTCTTTCTCATTTTTTGCCATTTTTTAAAATAAGGAGTTGGTTCCCTATCATTCTCCGAAGGTGATTTTTTGAAAAAATCATTATGAACTCACAGGTTTAACATATTCAATGGGTTTTAGCAATATTGCGATAACTATCCATAAGGAAGCTCTAATTGTCCCATCTTTGGCCAACCTCTTCAATTTGACTTCTGATTACTTTTGACATGACCCTAGCAGTCTTTGGTTATTCCTTGCTAATGGGTACGTCAAACTATTCCAAACTCATCATGTCCGTTTCCTCCCCCAGGCTTGGAATCCACTATTTATCTAAGAATCCCCAGTTATTTTTAGTGGGAAATTATATTTCAAGACAACCGACTGGGTATTAAGGATACTTACTGCTACTGATTAGTTATGTTTCTAGGGATTTTAATGGACAGTGTAGGAAAAATTTATCTCTCTCTTTCTGAACAATATATTTATATACTTATATCCAGATCACATGAGTTTCCAATACCTCATGAGTTTACACTGAATCTTATTCAAATTCAGGATGTTTTGTCTAACTTCTTCTATATTACATATGTATCTCCTTGCTTTTATGCCAAAAACACTTGGTGAAGAATTAGAATACCTCACTTTACACACCTCAGAAGACCAGAATAACTAATACAAATATTACCCCTACTATCGTGATTACTGAAAAGTTATATTTTCCCCCTGGCGTATGCTCTCATATTCTCCTAGCATATTTTATAATTGTATTGTATCTATATTGTTAGAGAATACATCCATTATATACTATCCTCCTTCCCCTTTAACACTCACTTTGCTTCAGTTTTGCAAGTAACTCTATACTACATTATGCTTTCCTCTAGTTCTTATGTTGATATCTTTTTAGTGATTTTGGTGGTTTGAAGGTTTATTATTTAGTAAGTTACTCAGGAAGGGCTCATGGGAACAATATCATCTGAGCTTTTTACACGTTAATAGCAGTTTGTGCTTTTTCTAGAGTCATCAGTTTTGCTGAATATAAAATCCTTGGCTCGTGTTTATTTTCCTTTAGTATCTTGAATATTTTACTCCATTTTTTCCTGGCATAGAGCATTGCTATAAAAATTATAATTTAATTTTATTTTCTTTATATGTAAATTGCTTGCTTTGTTTGCCTAGATGGCCGCTTGGGTTGGCTGTTCTGATTTCATGTTCTTGAGTATATGCTCTTTAAATATGGAACTTCAAGTCTTTTTTTCTGGGCTGGGGTAGACATGTTTTCTTGAATGATTAGCTTGGTTTTGTTCCTTTGTTCTGGTTTTCTCTTTCAGGACGTCCATTTACCCGTCTATTGGAGCTTCTTTGCCCATCTTTGGTATTAAATCTTTTTTATCCCATTGTTTCTTTTCACTTTAAAATTTTTCCTCTTCTAATTGCATGTCTCTTTTAAAGCATTATCCATTGTTCATTTTCATTTTTTAAGGGCTGTTTTCATTGCATATAGAATGTTAGATTTGGACTTTATTTTCTTTCAGTAATATCAGTAAAGATATTTTTGTTCAGGAACGCCTGGGTGGCTCAGTGGGTTAAGCGTCCAACTCTTGATTTCGGCTTAGATCATGATCTCAGGGTTGTGAGATCGAGCCCTGTGTTGGGCTCCATGCTGGGCATTGAGACTGCTTCAGATTCTCTCTCTCTCCCTCTCACTCTGCCCTTCTTCCCTAAAAAAGAGGGAGGGAGAAAAAAGATATTTTTGTTCAAAGTTTTCTGGTTTGCATTATTTCTATAGAGAAGTCAGCCTTAAGTCTTATAACTACTCTCTTGAGAGTAACTTTTCTTTTTTCCTTTGGCTACCTTTAAGGTTCTTCTCTTTGTTTTTCATTTTAGAACTTTTACTGTAGTGTTTCTAGATGCAGATTACTTTTTCTGTGCCTCGATGTCTTTTGCCTTTTGGGAAAATATTGCTTCTGGCAAACACTCTCTCTCCTCTCTTTTTAGGACTCTAGTCCTTAGATCTAGGCAGTGAATCTCCATTATGTTCTTGTCTATATTTTCAGTCAGCTTATCTCCCTATGCATAATTCTGGGCATTTCCTTCTGACCCCTCTTCCAGTTGACCAATTCTGTCTTCAGCCATCACTCCCAGTAGTTGAGTTCCTAATTCCCGTTATTGCAATTTTGATTTGTTTTTTCTAGAAGTGATTGGCAGCTCAGACAGAGGCATGGATAAGGTAGAACGATTGATGTTTAAAGTTGCCACAGGGTGCACAGGAACAACACTGGGGAAGGCGACTTGCACATATTGGCAAGACGGTGGCAGAGAGAGAGAGAGCAGAGGGCTCCATATGGTGGATGTCTAGACAGTGTGAGGAAAAGCAAGGGGCAGAGACATAGTGGAATAACACCAACAGAGCTAGAGAATTGGGGGTTGAGGTCAGAGACCAGAGTGTTTGAATTTAAATGTAATTATAACAGGAGAAGCTGCACTGGTCAAGGCAGTCTCTGCTGTGCTGCAGTTAAACCCCAGCCCTCAGAGCCTTTACACATTGCAGTTGAATTCCTGATCACATGTACTCCAGTGCAGATGCCCCTGGGGAGATGGTTCCCATGGATGGACTCTCCGCAGAGCAATGGATTAGGCTTTTCTCTCTAGTGGCTCCTTGAAGAATACCCTCACTGGACTCTTCTCATCCAGCTTGCATCTCTCCATCATTGTTGCTGGAATAGACCGACTATGGAGGAAGCTAGGAAGCACGGAGATTCATGTGAGCCCTTCTCAGCACCTCATCCTGGAAGTGACGCCTATCGCTTCTGCTCATTCCACAGCATGAGAGCCAGTCACACGGCCCCACCTAGATGCACACGGGGCCAGGAAATGCCCTTCCTGTTTAGAAAGCGTTTTCCCAGCAACAGCCCTATGTGATGGCTAGCAGAACTCAGGAGTCAATTGTCATTGCTTTCAGGGCAGGAGGAGAACCCATTAAGTTCTCAGTATGAGACAGCAACAGGTGGGGATGGGGTACATGACACCTGGATGACAGGGGCCTCAAACAAAGGACACTGTGATTAGGGTGAGGAGATACTGATCTGGAAATGATACTGTGGGTCAGGGAGCACTTTAATTCCAGAGCTCATCAAGAGTACCCCTGATCTGAGAGAAAAACATGGAAAATTATATTCTTGGAGAAATGTTTGCTGAAGTGTCTAGAGTCATTTAGCCCTAAGGTATATTAGAAAAGTTCGAGACAGTGGAGAGTAATGGGGATCTGGGCCCAGGTGGAAGGAGGACAGAATAAGCATCAGATTGTGAGGAGAGAGTAGGCCTGAAGGATGCACGCTTCGGGGGCTGGACGAGCGTAGGAGGAATGTGGTGGGAAGGATTTATTTGGCCACAGAATTGAAAGACAGTTCTTGCAACATCCTGAGCAGGTAGCAGGTGGAATTCGTTGTCTCCTGGCTGCTCTCTGGGTGGGTTCTCCTTCTGGGAGAATTAAGGTCTCTGATAGATGAGAAAGCTCCTTTGGAAGGAGTTATCCCTCTGACTTTGTTTGAGCATGAGATTTCTGAGGAAAAGTAGGAATCAATGCTGTTTGTGGAGAGGCTCTGCAAAGTAGAAAGTGTTGTCAGCAAGGAGGCTGAGCTCGACCCGTCGGAGGACGGAGGAAACCAGGAGAGGGTGGGGACAGTGAAGCCAAGGTCAGTGGGTCAAATGACGCAAGGAAGTCAAGTGAGATGAAGCCTAGGGAGTGTGCCCTTAACGTAGCACCAGCGTGATGAATGTGTGAGAGCCGAAGGCAGATCCATAAATAATCAAACACAGAATACACTGTGGCAAAAAAAGAAAATATTCACCTATAATTGCATCACCCTACTCTAAACATTATTTTATTTTTCTGATGACCAAGGCTTCGCTTGTCACCAATGAATTTCAGTAGTCACAAAACGTAATACACAGGTCATATTTTTTTTTTCTACCCACATGTAACTGGTTCTCTTTTCCTTAGATAATTTATATATAGATTTAAAACAGAGCCACAGGTGTCACTGCATGCTAAGTTCTATTTCATTTCAAAGATGCCGTACCTTCTTCATGGTATTATTAAAGCTGTAGTCCTTCCTGCCGTGTATTTCCCACACGATGAAATTTACTTCCACGTCTTCCACGTAGCCATTGTCATCGTATCTGAGCGAGACAAGCCAACACAACAATAATCGGTTAGAGCCGAAGAGAGGTTGAGAGTTGCAGCCCCCTCCCCCCCATCTGACAGGCTTCTCTGAACAGCGCTGCGACCTCGTGAAGTGGCTTAATGTTCTCGAAGTCTCAATATTGTCACTTCTCTGTGAACTCACAACAGTGCCATTGTATAGGTTTCCTTCAGCTCTCGAAATCAACCTCCTAGTAATGAAGCAGGAAATGTTCACCTTTTTCACAGTTGGAAGCGTGAATGCTGTTCACTTTGACAGGAACCGCGTGTTGAGGAGGTGAGGGGAGTGGGGGCCCTGCCGAGTCGGCTGGGAGCAGGGGGAAAGAACTGAGGAAGGAGGAAGGGCACAGCGAGGGGCCCCTGGTGTCATCTGATCAACAAATATTCATGGGGTGACTGTTGTGTCTCACGGGCTCACTGTGCTGAGAACAGAGATGCTCCAGAGCTCCTGGGGGACCCGGCTGGAAGACGGGGCTGAGTGTCAGGGGGTTGGCAGCAGAAGGGAGAGCTGAGGTGGGGCCCAAGAAGCAGAAGCGGTCACCGGTTCCTGGGAGCCACAGTCCCACGCAGCCCACGCCCAGACAACTCGTGATGACTCTCACCCACAGCAGCACCCCCGCAGGCGGTCCTACAGGGACAGGGGGCCCACTCCCCAGATGCCGGCCCGGGAGACAGAAACCCCATTGAGCTTATTCACCCCAAACTCAGTGTGTTTCAAAAGAGATGCTACTTCAAATTGTTAAGATCTGTTTTTTTCTTCTTGCTACCTTATGAAAACAGGGGTTTGAGACCAAAGCTAAAGTTCAGTTAGTGGTAAAGTTACACCTGTGCATTGCCAGAGCTGACAACTGTTTTAAACACGGTCATGTCCTCTTTTTCCATCCGTCGTTGCCCGCTTTTCTGAATGGGACTGTCCCCGCCCTGCTGTGGATGGAAATTTCACTTAGGACTTTGGTCTCAGGCACTGGCTCCTGGGCTCTGACCCTTGGACTGTTGCCGCGGGGTCGGGTACGTTCTCTTGCTCCCCATCTCTGTGTCTATCCATAAGATCATGGGTCTTTGACCGTGGTGTTTCCTTACTCACGGCCCACATTTCTGCCTGACATCGCAGTCACTCTGCCTGGCTCTCCGTATCTGCTACAACTTGGCGCCATCCATTTCTGCTTATAAAAACCAGCTCTGGTCCCATTTACAAATTGGGCAGGAAATCTGTACACATCAGAAAGTGGTACCTGAGAAGCTATTTTATTTCCATCTGAATTCATTTTTAGGAGCCTTAAAGACATGAACTCAGGTGTGAGTAACTAGGGGTTAGAGTCATGGTGGTCGACTTCTTTCTTGGCACAGGAAGAGGGTCATAGAGAACTCTAAACTCTAAAGTTCCTCCCACAAGAAAATGCACACACGTGTGTGACATAGTCAATTTTGTATGCAGTTTTGGAGATTCGGGCCAGGCTTTAGCAAAGCTCTCATTCTAGGAGCTTCGGAAGGTGCAGCATTTTTGCCTGCATCTTCCAAAAGCCATCAGATTCTTGAATTATTAAGAACTAGTTGTAAAGCCATATGTTTTATTTAAATTTTAAAAAAGATCTTCATTGAACTGGGAGTGGACGTTGTTGACACTCACAAAAGCAATAAGCTATAGTGTCATCTAGTGGCAATAAGGATAAATTACATGACCCATACTTCCGGGTTTATAATCTTTGGATAATGCTTTATTATTTCATGGAGAATATGGGACAAAAATACTTGCCCGTGTAAGCATGGCTTATTTTCATTAATGTTCATTTATAGGATATGATACCAGTGAGACCTGAGAAATTCAGAAATGTCACTAGTGGGCAACTAACTTCCCTATAATTTGTTAACTTCTCCATTGTGACAGTTGCGCTACTGATCCATCGACACATATGTTTTCAGTCCCGTGGGACCACTCAACCCAGTGTATTAACCATGTCTCTTACTTTCTGTTTTGTGATGCTTTAATAGCTGGGTTAATTACCGCAGGAGAATTGGAAGCAACATGCCTTATCAAATGACACACGGTGGCAGAGACATACATAAGTTACCCCAAGAAAGACGAGTGCGGCCACATGGCCCAGAGTGTTGTTGCTGCTCTCTGACCCCACCTCCTCCACCCCCACAGCCTCTCATCCGCCCCTTGGCCTCATCACACATCCAGGCCTGCCTTTCTCCGCTTTCCTCCTAGGGGCAGTTCCCTCCCTGCCCTGCATCCTGGATTCACTCAGTTGCTCTCGCCCTGCTTCCAACATCTCACCCCAGCCTTGGATGTCACACCATGCCTTCCGCATTCATGCACAGGCTACTTGAGAGATTCAAATATGCGGCACTGGGCCTGCTTGCAGTGTCTTAAGTCAATTGTGCCTTTGGTATTGTCTGATAATCTTTCTGCCGGTCCTTGGTCAGCCTTTTTCATATTACCCTCAGTGACCCTGACACCCTCCTCAAAGCCTCTCCTCAACCTCTCGGTGCTCCCAATGTACACGTGGCCCTTTCTGTTTCTTGTAAGTAAAATGAGGCTGTCAGACATGACTTCTCTCAGCTCCTGCAGTCCTCTGTTTCCAGTCACTTCCTACATTTAGTTTTACTTCCCACCTCCCTCCAAGTCTCAGAGGATGAATTCTCCTTCTTCTTTTAACATTTCCACCTGGGTCTTTGATCCTACTGCCCTAGTTTTCTTCGTGGACCTGGCTCCTATAGCTTATTTTATTTTAATTAGGAAATGTTTCAAATAGTCAGAAAAACACAGAGAATAATGTGAAAATTCTTACATATTATTTTCATCCAGGTTTTATACTTTACTTATGCATAAACATATCCATAAATCACATATAGTATTGCTTTATGAGTTTGCAAATATACATACAGGATATTACACTGTAAGTATCTTTTGGCAACTTTTTTTCCCACTCAATATTAGGTTTTGAGATGGATCCATAGAAATTTCCAGTCTCTTGGTCTCTGTTTTCCTCAGCAGCAGCTCTCACCTGACTACTCCTCCCCTATTCAACCTGAACTTGGTGGCTGACCCCCGGATTCCTTCTTACAAGCATCTTTTCATTCATTTTAAGGGCCGTGCCCCATTGCATTGGCTACAATGTATACATCCAAAAATGTTTGCTATGTTTCATTATGTATATTTCACCACCAGTAAAAGAATCTATATTTAAAGATGCCATAAACAAACATGTCAGCCACCTGTCTTTTTCACCTGGTTTATGGTAAGATATCATGAGGTAGCAGGAAAAGTACCAGTGTGTGATATCCTGGAAGCCAGATGAAGAAACTATTTCAAGTAAGAGAGAATGATCAGCTGTGTAGTTCTGGTTACCGAGATCAGCTAGGGTGAGTCCTGAGGACCGAGCGCTGGGTGCGGCGGTCGGAGGGCACGGGTCACACTGGGTGGCAGTGCTAGTGATGGGTGGTGGCCAAAGCAGGCTGGGAGGGATGGGGGACAGCAGGAGGGGAGCTGGTGACGTGAGGTTAGTAGCTACAGGGGTAGTGGGGGTCACGAGAGGGTTCTTCCTGTTTTTGTCTTCGGTAAGGGAGAGAACTGCCGATTTCTCTGATGATCCAGTAGATGGGGAAAAATTGATGATGCGGGAGAAGGTGGGGCGAGTTTCAGGAGCAGTTTCTTAAGTAGGAAAGCGGGTGGGGATCCAGTTCACAGATGGAGAGAGAGACCTTAGATACACATATGTTCACCTACGGTGATAGGAAGACAGACAGAATTCGTGGGTACAGATAAGGGGGTGGAGGTTTGTGGAAGATCTCTTCTGATTGATGTCACTTGGACTCGTTCATCTTCCTCATTCTCTCTTCTCATCTATCAATTATCCAATTATCTATCAGTTATCAAGCCCCTACCTATTATAATCACTAATTTTTCTCATAAACGATTCCTCTTCTTTGTCCATGCTGCAGTTTCAATCATTTTTGTTTTTCCTCCACAGACTACCACTACAGTTTACTACCTGTCTCGCTATTTAGACTTGTTTCCCTGAAGTTCATCTTCTCGCTTCTCCCAGAGAGGACTAGCTAAGGCAAATATCTGATCATGCTGCTCTACCACAGTATGGACAGGAAGTCTCCCACGATCTGGACTCCACCGAGCTCCAAGCTAGTTTCTCTTGTCCTGACACTTCATGCCTCACTTTATGCCCCAACAGCATTATACTGTTTGAGCTGTACATCTTCTTCCTCAAACCATCCCTTTTGCTTGAAAGCCTCACCCAGTGGAGCTCATTGCCACCGTCCCCACTTTTCTTCTTCCCTCTCTGCCTTCAACTAAATATTTATTATCCTTTAAGACTCAGTGACTCAGATCAAAGCCCCTCTCCCTTCTGTAGCTGGGTTGGATTCTTTTGAGTTTCCTTTTTATTATTCCATATCAGCTAATATGGTGACCTGATTCATCACACTCTTGAGCCCTCAACTGAGAGAGGAAGTCCTGTGTTACTTATCTTTGAATTCCCAGGACCTAGCACAGTAAAAGGTTCAGAAGTGTTTAATAGTAATGAATTGAAGAGAAGAATACACTTCTCTGGGAGAGAACATTAACATTATTTATCCTTGGAGGATTAAGACACTTAAAAACATAAAACATAAAACAAAAACAAAGCAAACAAGGAGCCTGGGAAGATGGTGGAGTAGGAGGACCCTGAGCTCACCCCGTCCCATGTTTTCAACTTGACTAGTCCCAAGTCAATAAATCAGAGAGCAATCTAAAGATGGGAGGAACAAACTCTACAACTAAATATAGAGAAGAGAGGTAGGAAACACCAAAGCAATAAAAATGAATATTTCTGTAAAAAATCAGTCAAGGAACTCACAAAAAAGGATATAAAATGTAATAACATATGCCTAAAACATGGGGAGAAAAGGAGAAAAGAATGGGTTCAAACTTAAATGACCATGAAATTGATAAAGACTGCTACATGCAGAAGAGGTTATATAC